CCCCCCCCCCACTCTCCTATTTCTAAGTAGACTAACCTTGCTATGGGCCAAGGTGGTAGTCATAGTTGCGAGGATCAACTTAACAGTGGTTGTGGTGAACGGTTTGCTCAGAAATGCATATTTCTATTGAGTTAATCACACATTTTATCTCAGATGTAGAATTGAAGTTTTCATCGATTTCTTTGGTGTTTAGTTTTTACCTAAGATCCGCAGTCTACCCAAAGCTATCGTTCAATGAGGCATGAGAGAACCAATGGTAAGTACAGACCTCTTATCTTTCTTATTGAAGGGATTCTTTGGAGATAGCTCTGGTTCGTGCACATTAGAAGTCGAAATGAGTGAAACACCTTGCCTCGGTGCTTCGATCCCATTACGGTTAAGACAGTAAGCAAGGAGATAGTTGTGGAAGATGGTAGTGAATGAAGAAGGAATCCCTAACCTCAAAGAGAGAGCACTAACCTCCCACACGGAGTTTTGATGGCCTGTCCCCTAGGTCTACCGAAGTGAACTAAAGAGCCAGCAAAAAGCCTACTCTTCTGTCGGCCGCTCAAACCTACTGACGATACGGAGGAGCGTACCATATGGATTGACGAAAAAAGTTTCAGCACAATAGGTAGAACGAGAATCGAACTCACTTGTGTACCATTTTTTTAGAAACACCGATGCGATGTTGTTCCTACCTTTTAGGTAGAATAGAAACTATGACTACCACCACTGTTGGTTAAATTTTCTCTTATAAATTTGATAGCAATATGTTGGTTAAATTTAAAAAAAAAAATATTTTGTTCTTATTATTATTTGATGTTATTATTTCATTATTATTATTTTATTTTATTTTATTTTTGTTTTTATTATTGTTGTTGTCTAATTCGCTAAAATTTTGCCCACCCTAAAAATAGAAGCTGGATTCGTCCCTAGTTATCTCCACAATAAAATTACAGTGTGAACGGGAGCTGACCGAACGCTTGCATGGGCGAATATGGACGGCTCGATTCGTGATTTTAGCAAATGATCGTGTTTAGGGATAAGAAACACCAACTCCTTTTCATTCTTATCGCTAAAGAAGTGATAAATTGGAAGAAATCTCAGTTAACGAGAAGAACAACCGAGAAGAAGAGGGAAGAAGAAAAAAGAAGAGATTGAAAGCGGAATGGAGGAGATTTTGGGAGAGAAAGAAGGCTTTTGGGATTTTGAGAAATTTTTCATTTGGATTTTAGAAAGAGAGAGATCAAGTTGTAAGAGTTCGATTCATCAAGAATTCTACAAGGAAAAGGAAATTTGAGATTTGAGGTAATTATTAATTACATGAATATTTATGAAAAATTAATGGAAGTTCAATGATAAATTTTCATGGTTATAAATTTCTTTAGGTTGTACTAAGAATCGAGGACTCAAAAGAATCAAAGTGAGTAAATGATGTTATTTTTTATAGTTATTTCATATTTTTAAATTTATTCACATAATCTTCTAATTATTTGCATTAATTACAGATGTTAGAAAGTATAGATATTTCATGATCGTATAGTCTTCTGATTAAGGGCTTATGTTACAAATGTTTGAAAGTTTCATTAAAGTGAAATGTAATACTTATAAATGTATGAATAATGATTATATGGAAAATGGAAAAGAAGAGGGAAGACAAAAGTTATATATATTGAAATAAAACAGATGTAAATATAAAAAAGAAAATGTATAAGCATGCAAATTACAGAAGTTGATCCCCGTATGGTACTGGTTGGGCAAGCAACGTACCCGTACACGTTAAATGGAAATAGAAAAGGAAATAAAAATGATTGTATCTTTGATACATTTAGATGGTGCACCTGTATTAATGAAATTAGAAAAGTAATTCATGCTAAAGTGGAAAAGGAATACATGTTAAAGTGGAAAAGGAATACATATTAAAGTGTTATAAATGCATATTGAATGATTACCTAACAATACTGAATGCACCATGCTAGTGATTTAAATCGAGTCAAACATCTTCTTTAATAACCTTGGCATTATAGGACTACATCATAAACTATGGAGAAATGTTGTTACGGTAGAAACTACCATTTCAAAACAACCGACCACCACAGCATTCAAAAACTTTAAGAATTTCAATATAACTGGGACTTCACTTCAAATACTAGGAACTACTATTCCAATATTATTCGAAGAATACAATGATTTCTTGTTTCCAATCCGGATCCGAAAAATCTTTCTATTGAATCATTTTAAATGGGTTCATGGAAACCAAGCAATAAAGGATTAAAAACTTTAGGAATGTCAGTCTATTGGAATTTCACTTGAAATCCTAGGTACTAATATTTCAATATTATTCCAAGAATACAATAATTTCTTGCCTCTAAACCAGCTCAGAAAAAACTAAGACATCATTTTAAATAGGTTCACATAGAGACATAACATGCATGCATGCACTTGAAAAGAAAATTTTTACAAATATAATTACAGGTCATAAGTATTTAAGTTTCTCTGACATGTTGTTACCCTTTATTACACTACATTAAGTCAAAACTTGCATTTCCAAGCACATTTGCAAAAAAAAATTAAAGAACAACTTAGAAATTAAAGATCCTTCCGAAGTTTGTGTAATTAGATAACGTTGTTTAAGAAAATCAATCTGGTTTCAGACTCTTGACAAAGGGCTAGAGTCATGATTATAACATGCTTTTGCACTTATTTTCATCTTGATTGTGCTGATCATTAGATGATGATATCAATTCAGATAGCTAGCTTCTGTAAGGAACAAAGAAAGTAAAAAACTGAAAAAAAAAAACATACAGAAGAAATAACTAGGTACCTTCACAAGTGAAATGTAGCAGTTCACCAGACATACGAGGATGCCTATGTGTGATAAGAGAAGCCGTACTCTGCTCTTAGTCATGAAAATCTCATGAACATCAATTCCTTTACAAGTTGAATCCCCATTATGATGACTATAGCGGTATTTGTTCTTGTCATTGTGAGAAAGAGGAAAAGACATGCTATACAGCATAAAACAATGGTTTCAACTCTGTAATTTGCTCATATAGTAACTGACTCCCAGTGATTGCAGGAATTTCAATGAAAGAAAAATATTAATCAATTGTTCTGTTCAAATATTCATTTCAATAAAATATTGCAAAATAGTTCTGATGGAACTATTGCAGATATACAGCAAAAAGAAATCTTCATTTGGAAAATAGTAACCATTGTTTTGTTATAACAGTCTCTACGAAAGCTAGGCCTGCCTGGTCTAGCCTCTAGCGTTAACATAAAATAAGAATACTGCACAAAACATTCCTCTGGAATAGGAGGGTAAAACGGCAATACAATTCTCTTAGATCCAAATATTCAAGCACATAAGCAGTAATGGAGATGGGGGCATTATTTAAATGAAAATCTCTAAGGAATAAACAACAAATGACAAACTCCCATTATTAGAAATATCCAACTACAAGTTCCATCCCCATTAGATATTCGCACAAGATTTACAGCAAAAAAGGGATCAATCAAGTGATTGTCAACTAGCATTAGTGCATGAAATGTATGCCATAAGCAGGAGCAAGAAACAAAGCAAGGTTGTATTGAAGGCCCATGTAAGTTTCCAACTTCGTGTCAACAAAAGTGATTAATGAGATATCAATGAGAGAGGCCAAGTAAAGATAAATGAAGAATACCAATTAGCAATCATTGATCAATAAAGGAGGCTGATAGAAGAAATCTATCAATCATCAAAAAGAAAACAAAGTTGTGATTCATAAGATGTAATTTGGTCAATAGCACCAAAAAAAGCAAAGAATCAATAGAGGGATGATTAGGTGAATGCCAAATGTCCATGATTTAATCAAGTTAAAAGACCAATAAGCAAAGTTCTTTGTATGGACAAAAACCTAGCAAGATAGATAAACTGGTTAAGCTACAAAAAACTCTAGAATTCAGGATTTTTTCCAAATTCTAAGGTATGGTCGATGATTATGTGAAGCAAATAAGGGCAAGCTTGGACGCATCATCTAAATTCATGCAATTTTTTATAAAGGAGGTAATAGACCATAGGCCGGCCTAGTTGGGTGTTTGAGTTTGAGCCAAGTCAAGCATTAGCCAGTGATGTCAATCATGGATCATCACCATCATTTTTTATCAACAAATAAAAAAATATGGAGATGTTTGAAATGACATGATGATGCCTTTAATGGTGGTGGCTTGAATTTTCATAAGACGAATCAATGGGAAAAAATCTAAGGACTTGTGTGGCTTCATTTTTACATCCACAAGCAAAGAAAGCTTCATTATTAGCAAAGAATGACAGATCTGACCTACCATTCATGAGCAAAAGGAAGCAAACCCAAACCTTAGTTTAGGTCAAGTTGGGCCTATAGGCTAATCTAATACAGTCTACCCAGTTCACCAATAAAAGCATTGAGCATTATCTAGACAGTGCATTATAATTAGGAATTTGTGTTGATAGCAACATCTTACACTTTTTCAGGACATCTTCACTTATGTTATGTCATGCGTAGCTTCATATGATAGGTTTCTTACAAATTTTAACATAGATGCAGGTATATATAATGTGAGAAAAAGATGCAATATGCCTAATTACAATTCTTTCAAAGAACTTATTGGTTCCAGGTGAACTCATTGGCTCTAGTGCTGCATATCGATCCAACAAAGGTAGCTCATCGGCCATGCTTATGAGATAACATCCATATCAGTTGTAAATATCAATTTATATAAATCACAAAATTACAATCAAGGTGCCAATGAGCATGCAGGGGTAAACACTATTACAAATAAAACATAAAAACCAATTCTATCAACAACATTTACTCATATAAATAAGTATTAATTGCCTAACACAAAAACAGTTTAAAGATGTTCCAACTTCCACAAGTCAATCTTAACTTCCTCTACATTGATATGCATGAAACAAGATCAAATAGTTTAATGTCAAGCAATATTCAAATGAGGTATGCAAATAAATTATTTAAAGCCTTATTCGCATAAATCTATACTTAATTCCTATGTTTCTTAGCTAACCATCTAATCACTCTCAAAGTGACGGAATTACATAAATCTTTAAAATAGCTAGTCTTCATCTATTAACTCATAACTTCATTAAATCTGATGAAGTTACAAGGCATGATATGGCGATGATATCCATTGGGTAAATTATACTTTCTTCCCAAATGTATAGTTTAATTTCACAAACACACCATACACTTATTACAAACATGAGTAAATTAAACACTAAATATACGTATGAGAAAAGCACTCCAATTAAATATGTATCTCTTGACCCACACAATTCATATAGCATTCCATATGATTAAGAATTATTCTAAACAAAAATCCTTATCAAATTGAGATTAAAGATAAATATCAAATCATCAGTTATTACATTAATACATGCTTATAAGACTTCCTAGACATATGCATATTACATGGATAACTTCTTGTTGTATCGCCTAAAACTCATCTGACCAAATATGGATCTTATTCCAAATCCCAATGCACTCAAGTATTCAAATAAAACACTTTTGGAATAGCCTCATAGATTATCTAAACACTATTTTCAACAAACTTATAGTCAAAATGAGCGCCTTGATGAGATAAACACAACACTAGTAAGAATGTCTTGATCTTAGTCAAAATTGACCTAAAATAAATAGAAACTATAATTGAATACTTCATGAGACTACTCGGGTGATCAATTCAATTTCAAACATTTTGATTGAATGCCCAAACGACTAGCAAAAATTACTAGTATGCCGCCTCTAAAAATCTATACATATGACTTATTTTTATACAATTGAAGAGAATTTCATAGAGGAGTTTGGTGGAGAGATTTCCATAAATTGGAGAATTCTAAAGCTCTAATCATTAGTACCTGAACCTGATACATGTTGAAGAATAATGCCAACATCAGCCATCGTCCAATGTCAACTCCCGTTGTCAACCAATATTGATGCCCACCTTCAACCAATATTGACATTTATTGTCAACCAACACTACACCTACTAACAACCAATAATGATATCTACCACCACCATCATCTGAAATCAGCAAAACCTTCACATCATCCTTTCAGTTTGTCTTATTTCCCATTACAAAAGGAGCAAGATAGTGTTAGACCACTAGATGTCACATGGCCTCAAACATTCCTTAATGAGGAATCCTCATCAATCAACATTTGATGCATACCAAGGACAAAGACATATATCAGTTACTAATGTTAGATCCCCACTTTCACGATCATCAATATCCTCTCCTATTAGGAAAATGCCCGAGCAAACAACTGACAATCGCCGAACTTTTTACATTTAGAGTTAACCATCATTTAATGTTTGCAAATGCCTGAAATCTATCAGCTACTGATGTCTGATGTTCTCCTTCATTGTTGTTGGTCTCCTCTCCTACAACGATAACATCAAAGCACACCACCAACTATCATATGATGTCTGACAATCCCAATTAGATGTCATCCAATGCCTACAGATATCTAACATTTTTCAACCATCAACATCCTATGTTGTCTTCTTGGTTGTTAATCTCTCCTTCCATAAAGAGAACGATCGAAAAGACCATTAACAATTGCCCAACATTCGACGTTACTAATAAAACATCATATGATGCCTACCAATATTTGTGTTTATCTGCCACCGATGTATGATGTTGACCTTTTAGTCATCAATTTCTCCCCCCTACAATGGATTACTGCTGACTTATCATTGATAGTTCTTGACATCCGATGTTTATAGTCAACTATCACCTAAAACCTACTGATGTTCAACTTTAATTAGCAATTGACTTTTGATGCTCTCCTTTGTGATTGTCAACATTCAGTCTCACAAAAAGCATGATCGAATAGACCACCATCTATTGCCTAATGTTCGATATTCTCAATCGATCCTCAGCCAACACTTGACAATGTATGATGTTTGTTAACTACAAATATCTAATATAGTTCTTCTTGATTCCCTAATCTCCCATTTATTAAGAGTGTGATCAAGAAAATCACCCAATATCACCTGATGAAAATTCCATACCTAAAGCTCCAAATTCCGACATGAAAGATATATTTCACAATTAATTTCTAATATATTATATTAATGTCTTCTGAAATTATAGAGAAAAGCATTCTTTGTGATATTCAGCTCACACTAGTAGAATCATTTCAACATGAGAAAGTCATATGATTTTCCACTAAAACCACATGTCTCATATGAATTGCTCTTTAACTTATCCGTGAATGTGTCGGACTTTTGTTCAATGCAGAAATGATAAAACATCCCTCTCACTGATCACTATAATAAGCAACATTTCTGGAATTACTTCTCTTGATCGTTAAAATAGGAAAGATGTGAGAAAATTATGTTAAGCGTTCACTGTATGATTTAGCACTCAACTGGAAAGGAGATTAGTTCCTACGTAAATCATTTAGAAGAATTGTCATTAATATTCATGAGAATTAAGGTTAGCTTCTCTAAATCTTCATAAGAGTCAAATCTTAATCCAAATATAATTTAAAGCTATAAGTACCAATCACCAAATCAGTGATCAATAATTACAAGTCCACGCATCTTTTGCAAATAACATTTAGGGGTTGTTTGGATACAGGATTTATGCTAAATCCTGCCAGCTAGTTAAATCCTTCATTTCCCTCTTTTTGCCGTAAATCCCGGATTAACTAAATCCGGGAGTACGGCGGATTTATGGGATTTTGCCGAAGAAGTGCGCGAAAGGAAGAAAGATGGCTACCTTTGGCAACGAGCAAGCTCCCGTCGTCGTTACTTCTGATACAACAGAAGAACGTCGAGGAGTTGTGACTTCGGATCCGACAGGAAGCGAAGAAGTTATTTAGCGACTCGTGCAAAACTCTTCCTCGCGAAGTCGAAGAGTGACAAACAGCTGGAGAAGAGGACAGGAAATTTTAACCCTGCGGCTATAGGAAGAGAAGTACGGGTATGACCAGGAAGGAAAACGAGGGAACAAATTAATTTAGGCTTCGTTTGTTTTTATGATCTTTTTGTAAAAGACAGTTTTAAAAAATATTACTTTCAAAAATGTAGTTTTTTAAGGGAAAAAAATATATATAAAAAGCTTTTTCAAAATTATAGAAAAATAAAAAAAGAAGTTATTGAGAACGTGATTTGACGAACCAAACAACACAAAAAAAAATTCCTCGGTTTCCAAAAACGGAAAAGTCAAAAAAACGCTAAAACAAACAAAGCCTTAATTAGTTAATTGTAATTAAGTAATTAATTAATTAGATTAATTGATAATTAACTTAGATACTATTTATATTATTTATAATTATTTGTTACTAATGAAAATTAGAATTACCAAGTTATTTCATAATTAATTTTTTTCGAAATATAAAATTTTGTAATTGTAATTTATTGACTATAATTAAAATTAAAAACACCTTAGACAAAGAATTTATATCACAAACTCACACACATAAATATTAGTAGTGCAAAAGGGAAATGCATTCATCCCCAACTGAGTTATTGTAATAGAATCAAACACAATAGTATAATTCAATATCAATGTGCTAAAAATTTTATCAAAATAGAAAGATTATATATTATGATAGTCAGTGGTGGGGCCAGAAAATATTTACAATGGGGGCACAAATTGATTTTTTTTCAAAAATTCCCTCAATTTTTTCAGTCAAACTTAAAATAACATTAGGAAAAAAAGAAAGAAAAGTTTATAAGGATTTAGCTGAATTGAACATTTTTAATTTCAAACAATTTTCAAGTTTTAATCCTCTCAAGGTTTTGAATTTACAGGAATTAATAATTAATAAATACTACTTGAGTTATTACATGCAGACAAAAAGTTGATAAGAGGCGTTCCAAAAAACTACAACATTAGTTATATACAGGCCAAAAAGCCTATAAGAGGTTATATATCTAAAAGCAAAATAGTTGAACAAAGATATATACCTGCCGATTTGGCCTTTGGAACTGGAGCTGAGAACATCGAGAACAATGAAGAACAGGAAATTGAAATCGTGTTGATATGTATGCCCTCGTTCCTTGTTCCTTTTTCCTCGTTCGTGAACGAATCTTCCTCATAACTTAGGGGAATAACGACGAAAAAAACAGCGAATGTTTCACATGTGGCTCGTATGCCCTCATTGCGAGCGAATCTTCCTCATAACTTAGAAAGAACTGCGAATAATCTGAAAAATGGCAGGATTAGGGCTTAACGTCGAGTGGAGAGATGGATCGCAAGATCGCAAGATCCAGAGAGCCTAAGGAAAGTTAAAGCGAAACTAAAATAGAAGCGGCGGAAGTGTTTTAAATTTTCATCGGGGGGGTACGTGCCCCCTAGGCCCCCCATGTATTCGCCACTGATGATAGTACGATTAGACATATGTAAAGTTATTATAGCTAATTATGTTAAGTATAATGATAAGTATTCCTTAGTAAGATTAGATAGTTAAAAAAGATGATGGAATTTAATTTTAATAAAATTAGGTATATACAAACACATCAACAAGAACAAAAGTTATTATATGGATCCTACATATGTATAAATTAACTTAATACAATAATATAGGTCATAATGCTTATACACAATAGGTGTGGTGCCATATTATAAAAAATTAGTTAAAAATTAATATTTATAAAATGCTTACATATCAATATAACCAAATTCATAAATATTTAATGCATGTGTGGCATAATAATAGAAGAATAGCATACTTGAACATATCATGCAGTACAACCCATATAAAATAATAGGTTTTTTGTGTTATGCTCTTTGTATAACACATTATTGAAAATAAATAAATATACTACATACTAGATATTAAGAATGTATACTAAATATAATATATATATATATAATATATCAACAATCTTTAGTTTTCCCGAAAAGAGGCAAGACTTTTAATAATTATTATGGGATATGAATAGCTTTAAGTGGGCCTTCTACAATCCCAAAGAAATTTAAAGAAAAGAGTATTAGGTCACCCTCTTATGAGGGGTAGGGCCTTGAATATGTCTAATTAACTTGAGTTCTTGGTAGCATTTGCTTAGATAATATATATTGTAATAGTTATATATTATGGCCAACTTTATTATGTTTTACACAAATCAAAAGACCTTTTATGATAAAAATACACAACATAAACTAACAAATGTGAAATATAATATTTTTTGACATATGTAAGAGTAAATAATAAAGCTTGTAACCTGAGCATTGACCATTATGTCATGTGTATGAATACTCTATATAAATCTCAAGATGAAATCACAGGCAAGTTGGTATGTGCTTCTCAAATTTATTCTTATATGAGTACCATGCTCAAGCAACCAATAAAAATCATTTTGTATATAATAAATTAGAATAAAATTTATTTTTTGTTGGCTTGATAAAATATGGATAGATGTTAACAATACTGCAACTTACTAACCTCAAACTCTCTAAACCACATGTTGCACACTTCCTTCAAAATTTTCTTCCAGAAAATATATGAAGCATCAAACCTACTCTGTACGATATGTCATATTCTATGTGTGAGCTGCTTTGACAGGTAAAACTTACACAAAATATTTAGTTAAAAATATTCTTTCTTAAATATATGTGCAATATAATATATACACATTAACTTATGTGTCATGCTCGAGATGAATTAGCATGCGCCCATCTGTGGTCAGTGTTGCGTCAGTCTGCGTGGAAGGTCCAACTGCAGAGTGGTGTGGGGCTGGTGGGTAGTAGAATGGAAGAATGTATGGTGGATAAAGATAAGTAGAAGAGACTCCCTAAGAAGTTGGTGGGGGTAGTACGAGTAAAAGGTAACTATATGTATAGTGTCTGGTAAAGAAAAGCGAGGGTATGAAGAGTAAAATTGAAGACTCCCTACATGAGGTGTAGGTAAAGGGGGGCTATGTTAGCTATGAGTCGCAAGTTATAAATAGGATGTCTCCTCAGTACCTTCAACCCTCTTGAATCATCCATCAGTATTTTTCTTATCCCTGAATACATTTGTGATTGACCGCTTGGGGGGCTCATTACCTCCGGAATCCATTTGCAATAAATAAAAGAAATAATTAGCTATAATTTATATATTTATAAAAATGCAAAAATAAGTAAATTAAATATATGAAATAAGTAGTAACTACTGCGGTTCTATTAAAAATTTTTATGTGTTTATTATTACTGTGCTATAAAAAAAGAACTATTGTACGTATACTAATATGTAAAAAAAATACTAGGAGATTCACATTTACCTCATAACTATTAATCACTAGGTAATTTATTTTCATCTAATGAGATTATATCCTCAATATAAATATCTTCAATATCTTTCTCAATGTATAAGTTTGCCTCCTTTAACTGCAACCTGATCTCATTAGCTGCAATTTGATCATGTACATCATTAGTAGTATATTAAAAGTATGACATACACTCTTCTTGATGTGTTACTAGTATTGATGTAGTATTCTCAATAAGCTCCCTTAGTTTAGTCTTAATAACTACATGTCAATCTTGCTTACCCTGCAATAATTTACCTAGATTGTTAACAAGGAAGACTTGGGTAGCCTTGTAGTAATGACAAATGGGTTGTATTTTTCATATCTTCTACCTCGCTTTACTTATATAATACCATAAAGTGGATGCACCCTTATTCCTTTGTTTTGCACTGGATTAACCCAATCATAATTAAAAAGATATAAGTTATTCCCTTCACCAAGATATTCCAACTATAGTACTTCATGTAATACCCCATAATACTCACAATTATAACCCGTATGATTATTCACCTTCACACATACACCAAAATTTTCTAGTTTTTGAGAGTCATGACTTTTTGTAATGCCCTAAAATTAAATTTGGAAGAATTGTCTATTTATTATTTTAAGAATATACCAGAGCTTATATAAATCATCAATATAAACAATAACCAATGAAAGAAACTAAAATTATACACATCAAGATATTTTACTATTTATTCACCTAAAATATTATTTACACTAGCTAAGATATCACTCTATCACTAATCTATCACAAGCTCTTGACTAAAATAAATAAATGAAAATATATAATAAAATTTTAAAAAAACCTTAGAATCTCTAAGAATCTCTTTTTAACTGGCCTGACCTCTTTCCTCACCTAAAATCATTAAAAATCCACATAATCAGGTCAAAAGCCTAGTACTAATAAAAAACTCACTAAAGTTTTTAATGTAAGGACTAAAGAATCAATATAATATGTTTAATCTAATATAATCAATAATAGTCAATATAATTAATGACCAAATGTTATCAATAAAACTTAAAATGATCAATAATTGATATAAAACATAATAAATTGATAAAATAGCAATGCATAAAATTATTCATGAATTACTAAAGGAATATATTTATCTATTCATATGAATCATCCAGTTATGTATTATCAATGCATTCAATACTGTCAATGATATTAATGTATCTATCAATGCCATCAATGTTATTAATATATACATGCATCAATATATTATTTAGTAATGCAGAATATCTAGCTTTAATATGGAGTTTTCAACATCTTTTACCTTAATTGATTCCTGGTTGGTCAACAGCTATATCAATTATCATTTATCCAATTTATTATTATCATATTCAATTAATTAATTATTAGTATATGTGACTTCATTAAATCAATAAATAGTCATTACTCTCTATTCGTAAGTGTAATTGATCATCTGTTATAAGCTACAACTAGGATAAAACCACAAATCATCCTTAAAAGAAAGTTCGTCAGTCCATCCACCTACACAGTGTATTATATTTTAACAACCAACTTTTCTTGCTTATGCAAATTCCACAATCAAAATACAGTAAGACATTATTAATTTTGTTCGATATAAGAAAATCTATATAATAATCAGAATTATTGAAAACTAAAATAAGATT